GAGCGACGGCGCGGTAATCTGTGAATTTCCGTGGGTTTTCAATTTTGGGGAAATTGAAAAAAAATGATTTATTCCATTCCTCCGGAGTTTTCCCACATTCCCATATTTTGTTAAAAAGGGTCAAAAGGAAGGAAGAGACAGTCCTAAGTGCAATTTTCAGATACTCAGCTGTTATGTCATCAGGCCCCGGAGCTTAGTTTCTACGTAATTATTTTATTATATTAGCGATCTCATCTATAGAAAAGCCACATGGGGGTGAGACAGAGATTATATTTAAGCTAGCTGGTGGGATTGCTTTCCTTGAATCGAAGACTGTGTCAAGCCATACAGCTATTTGTTCATCTTGATCTATGATCACTTTCCCATTCCTTAAGGCAATGGAGGGGAGTTTCTTAAAGCTACCAGGTTTACAAAAATATTTTAATTTTTTATATGCGTCATATATCCTGTTTCCTTCATATCTCTGTCAATGTCAAAGGCTTTCCTCGCGATATATATATTCGTCTATCTCTGCGTAGTAGTTTCTGTATATCCTTCCATAGGTCGCTATTCGAGCCGTTCTCACTTCTTAACAAATTTATTTTCTCTAGAGTGTCATTAGCCATCCATTCTTTCCTAGAGAAAGGAGTCGCGTTTGGCAAAACGTTGTATGATTCTGTAAGATCGCTTTTAAAAAGTTTTCAACATGCTTCTAAATTTTCCTGTCTAGTTATATTTACAAAGTTAGCTACTTTCCTAATTAGCATTTGATCGAAGAGCCTCGCATCTTCTGGTGTTTGTACTTTATTGGGTTTGCGTGTTATATTTGTGCGCGAAAGATAATTATTAGGACCGATTGAAGTTTGTCTACTTCCACTGTGATAACTCCATAGGTTTTTAACTGTAATGTTTGCTCTGAGCATTCTATGATCTAATATGTTAATATTTGTTAGTACTTTTACATCATCAAACCACCGGTGAACGTTCGAAATGAAAAAGTCAATTTGAGATTTTGCCGAGCCCTTACAAAGGTGTAAGTGTTACTTTCATGGTGGCTAAAGAAAGTATTCTCGACTTGAAATTATTGTTTATACAGAAATCTAGGAGTTTCTTACTATGTTCACAATTTCTTTGTAGTATTGTATCATGCCCAATAACATTACTATTTACATACTTAGCTTCTTTGCCGATTTTCATGTTAAAATCTCCTAAGATAATTATATTATATCTTCCCGGTAGGGAGTGTATCGTGTTTATCATAGAATCAACGAAACTTGAGCTCTCATTCCTATTGGGAGGGACATAGAAATTTATGATCAAATATAACAGTCCGCATCTTTCTGATACCGGTACGAATTTGATTGTGTGTTTCTGCATACGTTTATTTATAAGGAACGTTATCCCGGACCAACTATTCAAGGTGGTGCCTGAACAGAAAATTTTATAGTCATTAAAAATAGCCGTGTTTACCCCTGGAAAGTGGGTTTCCTGAATGCCAATAATGTCGATTTTCTCAGCTGCTAACATCCTTAGGAGAACCGCCAGTTTGTTTTTCATTCCATTTATTTTGGGAGACGCTATTTGTAGCTTGCCTGTGAACTTATACTAGAGAACCAATGAATGAAACCAATAAAGAGAATAAAAACGTCGGAAGTAAGTATAAGTAAAATCCAAAATGTAATTTGGGAGAAAAGTATTAGTGTGGAGAAAAGTATATAACGGAGAAGGCTACCTCATTATGTACTACTTAGGAGCCGCATAAGATGTAATATAACATTAATTTAAAAAGAGACCTTCTAAGATAATTTACAATGGTACTAACCCAATATATAACACTATACAACACAATTTTATGGATATTATTATTATTATGAGGTGGTCGCCAGTTTCAAAAGAGCCCAGTAAATGAGGGTAAAAGAACTCCTTTAAAGTTAAAAAACTAAAAATGAACTTAAGTTTGACTAAAAATTCTGAGACTACAGGTTTAAAGGGAAAACAAATTCAAAACTAAAAAGTTAACGTTAGGCATTTTACTTCCATTTATCCTAATCATGTTACCATTTTTTAGTGCCAAATACAAATGAAGGTATATAACATTTCATAATAGTTGGAGTTTTTATAATAGAGAAACTTCCCAGAAAGATAAAATTAAGAGATAAATTTAATACCGACTAATAATATCAAAAGATATCCAAAAAATTTATTTAACTAATGTTAGAAAAATTATATCTATGATAGGTTTACCTCCATAACGGTGTACTGGCTTGAATCCAAAAAGTGTATTGACGCAATTAGGAAATTAAAAAAACAGAAACAAATAATAATATAATAAACAAAAGAAGGTAATGAACACTTAAAAATTGCCTATTTGAATTTAAATTTACAGGAAAAATTTTCAAAAATATTATAAAACTGCCAATTCATATTACATTTAAAACTAATATTAAAAGTTTTTTCCAAAAAAAAAACTAAGACAAAGGAACCAAAATGAAGAAAAATGATTATAAAATTATTTCATGAACAAAAAAATATTTTACATGAACAGAGAAATATAAATCAAATCAAAATCAAAACGGCGCCTGAAAGAGAAAAGAGAAAATAATTACAATTAACATAGGCGCCAAAAATTTAAAGAAATTATTTAATTTGTAAATTTATTTTTACACATCAACTTTGGCTAGAAATGTATAATATTAATTAACGTAAGGAAAAAACAGACATCAGGAAAGAAACTAATAACTCTATATAATGTAATATACAACACGGAGAAATTAAAATTAGAATGACTGAATATATTATTGGCTAGTTACATATAGAGTAATCGTCCCACGAGAGAAATAAACCTAAACTACTACCGATTCAAAGTAATAAATGAGAAAGTACTGTATATCAACTGTTGTTTGTTCGTATTAAATACCTGAGAAAGGATTAAAGTCATGCTTCCATAGAAGTATTAGAGCATTAAAACCACTAAATAAAATAGTAATATCTTATCTGGGAGAAATTGGGATAAATAAGGATAAAAATTAACACTCATTCGCTATTTAAGGTTCAAGTTTATCGACCGGGAACCTAAAGATTTTAAGATTGAACTTATATATAACCTAAATAATCTAAAATATTTATATCTGAAGATATGTATATGGTGTTAAAACCGATCGATGCATATAATATAATATATAAATAGATTAATATATAAAAATTGATTATACTAATACCGACATGATAATGTAAATCCAATAATATCATTGAAGGTAATAATACAAATGAATTATTTATATTTTAAGTTGAAAGTTGTTAAACTAGAATACCCAGATATAGCTTATGTAAAATTTAAAAACCTTACAACTAGCTAAAATACTAAAATTTAACAAATGTTGATTTTAACTATATACAAAAAATCCTCTGTAAATAATGTTACAAGTTTAAATCTAATTAAAGTAAATATAATAAAAGTAAATATAATTTAATAGTTGTGTTAAGGTATACAGACATTAAGAGCAAACATGACTAAATTCAGCTAATGTATAATCAAGAACCATTGAAAGCTTATTAAAGCATTTTACCAATATTAAATTTCAACTATAAAATTTAATGTCATATATAATGTTTAGGGGATATAGAGATTATTTAATTAAGAAGGTATACTAATTAAGTTTATTTGACTGGCAATCACTTCATGAAATATATTAATATGATTGATTTGTATCTATGACATTTATATCATTGATAATATATATATATGACATTTATAACATTGATAATATATAATATAAATCTCATTTATAACAGAAGGGACCTAGATTAATTAAGTTACTATGTAAATTAAAACATGTTTAAACAGAAAATTTTAAATTAAGAGAAACAAAACTATATATTTAACTACTTCTGTATTTATATTACCAGACAAAATCATGTAAATAAATGTGTAAATATTTGTTCTATAAAAGTAAGAGGATATTATAAGTTAAAAAATATCCAAATTTAGCTAATATTAAGTCAAAGTATTAAGAAATAATGAATATTAAGTTTCAATACTAACTTTCAACAATAAGAAAATAATATTTATGATAATGGTGAGTATCTTTATTTAAGAGGGGATATAAATTAATTAGTACCATGCAGATTAATATAACTTACAAACAAAATTAGTGATTTAGAGAGACAAAACATCTTTAAAAAATACAATATGAATTAAAAGGGTATATTTAATTTTATGGTGCTGAAATTACAATAATATAAATTAGAAATTAAGTTTAAATCAAACATAAGCCTTGAGTGGAGTTTAACCTACAAACTAAATAAGTATATTTATATAAATGTTTAATTGTAAAGATACTTCCAACTCTAGTCCAAAACAATTTATTTGTAGTTTCCTTGCAATGATTAAGAGAAAAATAAAATATACCTCAAATCAAAGGAATAATCTGACCTATACTAATCTACACATGAGTTGACCAATTAACGTAATCATGGAACCATTTGAAAGCATCAAAAATATAGGTAAAACCAAGTACTTAGCTTGATTTCCATCATCCAAAAATATAGACCTTCCAAGCATTATGAATGAATCGATCTAGCCAATTAAGCTTTGACCAAAATGTCTACTGGTTCACACATCGATCAAAAATGTTTTTAGGAATAAAAATTTGCCGTATCGAATTTTTAAATCCAAAATTGCACTGGAATTGAATTAACTTGCAATAATTTTCAATGTTTTCATGCTTAAATTTTATTACATTTATGAAGGTATTGAAGTATACAATTAATAAAGTTCATGGGTAATAAAATTTTTTTTATCCAAATCGCCAAGTTTAAAATAGCAAAATATTTTTGTATCCTGTTCATTCATCGAAGGGATATTTTTTTCACAATAAAATCAAATTAAGAAATTTAGAAACAAAAAGTATGAATCAAAACTATTAAGTTAAGTTAATATAAATGGTGTTAAATGAATGTAACATACAAAAATTTGCGCTATATAATATCCATTATAATAAAATAATAATCCATGTTCAACACCTTTAAACGCCGCCAATTTCCCGTGAGACCTGCCTTTGTCATGACAATTAATAAAGCTCAGGGACAAACGTTGAACAAAGTTGGCATCTATTTACCTCATCCTGTTTTTTCACATGGACAGCTATATGTGACTATGTCTCGAGTTTGTTCTCCTCATAAATTAAAGATTATAACCAATGATAAAACAAGAACTACAACCAATGTGGTGTATCGTGAGGTTATATCCGATTAATCCCGGCTTATACGAATAAGAGTGAACATTACTTAGTAGGATATTATTTTTGAATTTAAACAATTTTATATTATTTAAGCATCCTTTTGTCGGGCCGCACAATATGCCCTTTTATCTCTGATGAATATTTTGTCTAACTGAAAATTATACAAAGTACATTATGAAAATTTAACTAAATTAATATAACAATTTTTAAGGATCCTACTTTTTTAAAAGCTTACCATTTTGTCAGATCCAACATTGCTCTATTATCCCTGCTGATTATTTTGTATAACGCACAAAAAAATATACATAGTACATATTTTTTATTATAAATAATTTTATATATGATTTTATATCTATTCCAACGCTGATTATTTTGTATAATGCACTGCACTTGACATGATATTATCTTTAAAAAATTATTAAGGGTTGAGCTGGGCTGGATAAACTTTTTAATAATTATATGCTTCCTAATATTGTGAGCTTGGATCTGGCATGACATCTATCGTAAAAAAATGAATAAAAATCTCATTCCCCGTCATTTTTGACGGGTTTTCTACTAGTATATATAATATTTAAAATTATATAAAAAAAATATATATAAATAGTATTTTTTTTCCATTTTATATTTATAGATATCAGTTTAGGATTTTTTTTATCATGCAAATGAATTTATAAATCCAGCCATGACGCCCATTAATTATAGACAATACCATTAACGCATAAAATTATTTTAAACAAATAAATTTATTTAGAATTTTGTAAAATAATTTTATAGATATTCCGCTAACTTTTAATGAATAAATTATAAGTTTAATGTAAGATTTTTTAAAATTATAATTCTATTTCTGATTTCGATTGAGAAAAAAACTTATTAAAAAAAAATATAGCAATAACTTGTATAATTTAGTACTTAATCATTTTACTCAAAAACAAAAATTCATATATTTTAATTTTTTTTATTGTTTGACTAATTAATAAAAATGGAATAGAAGTTAGGACACAGTATACTTGGGTAAAAAAATACTTAGGTAATTATAGGATCATCTATATATTATCCAATAAATATGGTAAGATAAGTTTGTCAATAATATAATCAGCAAATGCAATGCTACAACTATGTATGCATGCACTGTACTATCATATCCATTGAAAACTCATTAATTCCGTCTTTAGGTGATAAATAAAAATTATAATCAATAATTTTCACTATTCTGGAAAGCTATCTCACGCCTCAATGTTTAAGTAAATGATATATATGAGCGTTTAAACTAGCACAAATTTATTATATCTAAGGGGTAAAACATTTAATTCTCTGTATTTTACAATAACTTGGAATGTAGGAAGGGCAGCGTGAGCCTTTTTTCTTCTTAATATGTTACATAAAAGCTGTTAAAAATATAGTCGTTCATTTTAATTGGGGTCTATTCGATTTTTTTGGAACTTCAATGAATTTGATCGTTTTTTTTGACAATTTGGATTTTCTTTTAGACTTTAGTTTTTTAAAAGCCCACCGAATTAATTTTAGCCCTGGTTGGCCAAAAGCCTTAAGGCTACTTTTATCATGCAATTACTATTATAGTTATGTTGATAATTTTTGATGTTTGTGTTATGGGGTCAAAAGTAATTTTTCCAGGTAAAAATATAGTTAATGCCAATAAATTAATTTGTGGGCAAAGGTTGGCTCTGCCACCAACTGATATGTTACTTCATAAGTGCAAGTGCAGGTTTTGAGAAGTTGTGCCGAGAGTGAGGTGAAACCTATCTTAGCGTCGCTCTATATTAGTTTATATTCTTTATAATTAGTCCTGTAATAAATTTTTTATGATAATTAGTTCTAATAAATTTATAATATTTGAAAAACAAATCCCCCAAGCCAATAACAATTACTAGCTGCGCAAATTTGTTTATTTTCAATTGCGTGTCATAAAGATCTGTATAAAAATTTAATATGAAGATACAGTTTAATGATATATTACTACTGAAAATCTTTATAAAATTGTATACAAAGAATAAGGTACATTATTTCCCTAATTTTCTATTTAGTCTCATTCTTGAAATACAATTATTTAAATTATACACAGCATGGAGTCTAACAGTTTATTTATTCTTCAGGTGAGCTTATATTTTATTTCTGTATAACAATATATAATAACCCTACCTCAAAGAGAGTATTGGCTATGCGAAAATGTTAATGTTTATTTCATGTTTTTAAATTCCTTATTTTTTAAAATTTTATTATTTTTTATAATTCAGAACCCAACCTATTCCGATTCAGCAAAGCTGTATTCAATTGTCAGTTTTCGATTTTAAAATCAAACATCTGAGTGTGAACACGTGTTTTTGACAAGTCTAAGACCTCTACGCGTGTTACACATTATTTTGATATGGGGTTTGCCTTACCGCATCAAAAGCATATGACATTTTTTTGTATGAAGTTAGGTTTAAAACTAGATTTATAATTAGGAATATAATTATTATGATTGAATTTGTTGGTATTATAACTATTATTCATAAAATACGTGTTTTTGAAACCTTGCTTTGGCTTGTGTTTAATGAAGTTAATTTCTACCCATATTTCCTTTTTTTCCAATGGACAGCGCGATCGCTAAACGCACGGTATCTTCTAAGCCTTCGGTGTATTTTGACCGAAGTTCTTTATCCAAATTAAGTAGCCCTACTCCTAAAATAAAATATTTCTTAAAGTTCACCAACAAGTGATTTTAAATAACCTAGTGAGCAAATACTTTTTAATTTGATCGAAAAATCTAATATAGTTCTTTAATTTCTTTTTGATGTATAAAAATATTTATATGTTGGAAAATACTAGAGATATTCTTACATATTTTCTCCAAATTATCAAATAAAATTATATAATTAATGTTCTTTAAATTAATTGGGTAATTATTGCCAATAGTTTTGATAAAATTAAGAGCTACATTTCCCAATATACCTAAGATGTTGATAACAATTGGTATGTATACTGTGATTGGGAGGCAAGCACATTTGTCTTTTTAGGTACTACTGCCTTTTCTATGAAAGAAATAGTGAGGTTAGTCTTCGCTGCAAAATCGATATAGTGTAGTCCCAGATAACTACAAGGCCATTATTAGTCTAGGAGATAAGGATAAAACCTCCCGGCGTAGGGCATTTTCATTTGAAAGGCTCACTGGTTCTAGAGTGGAAGTGATATTAACTTTTTGATGGCAACTAGGAGAATGTTGTATGTAATGGATTTATGATGCTGTCCAGAGAGAAACTTGCAATGCAAGTGATTTCGATTGAGGAGGTCGAGATTTGAACTGTGGAAGGTTTCCAACCATTCATAGATTAATTTTTCAATGATTGATGATTGAAATATAGTATTTGTTTAGAAAGAGTTAAATTATTGAGTAATAATTAGCAAATTATGCTGTATATATATTAAATATCTTTAGATTTAGAATATTAAAATTAATATATATCAACATTAATTCTGAATAATTTTAAAATTTTGATAAAGAACTAATCATCTACTACAATAAATATAAAAAAATATAATTGCTGGGTCAAAGATATTTCGAACATATTCTTTATTTATTTCAAGCATCCGCATCATTTTTTATTTTTAGCTAATCTGTTTTAAATTTTATGTTTTAAAATGTAAAAATGTGCAAAAAGTAAAATTTTTTTGAGGTTTGAGTTAGCCACGAAATACACATTTTATCGTCAATTCTCTAAATTACACGATGTTTCCCTGCATCCCAACTTTAATGGGCTGCAATAGACAGATTGAATATATAGATAAAAGACATTGCAGTTTACCTAACGTACCAGAAGATATATTTAGATATAGCAGGACTCTTGAAGAGCTTTTACTCGATGCTAATCATTTAAAAGATTTACCAAAAGTTAATATTTATTATGTATACAAGGATTGTTTATTTATTAAAAAGGGCCTGTTTAAGCTGACAAAACTACGAAAATTTACCTTTAGTGATAATGAAATTAACAAAATACCTTCAGAAATATCTAATTTAACCAATCTTCAAGAATTGGATGCCAGCAAAAATGGTAGCAATTATTGTATAGATATTGACTAATTTTACTTACATTTAAGATATAATGGAAATTCCTGAAACTATAAAAAATTGCAAAAACTTACAAACAATCGATTTTAGCAGTAATCCTATACAGTTGTAAATATAATTTTTATGTACATATTTAATTTTAAAAAACTTATAAGAATTTAATATTTTAAATAAATGTATAGAATTTTTATTTATGGATATTGGAGATATATTATCTACTTATGCCTAAACAGCATATATATGAACAGTCTGTTTGTTTTAAAGTAATTATTTTTCTATCCAAATCATGATAATATTTAAAGTAATTTATACTGATTATCCTTAAATGTTGTTCAATAAAGAACCTATATTCCCAGAAAATATAAATAATTTATTGATAATAGCCAACCTATAACTTATTTTTTTTCATTAAATTGATAAATTATAAAAATTGATCATGCTTTTTGTATATAAACTTATTTTTTTTAGCAATTTTATTACATAACATAATAAAAAATATATATTTTAAAGTTTTTATCCAAATTTTAAGATTTCATGAATGTCTTTTATAATATGACCTAATTGAATTTTTTTGAAAAAAAGCAAATCAGTTTGCATTTTTATTAATGGTTATAAATTGTGATTAATTTGTACATTTTAAATGCATTGTTTGTGTTTTACATAATGAAACACAAATGCTCAATTAGGTTACACTATTAAGGAGACAATTTTTAGAAAAACAAAAATAAAATTTAAAAAAAACCCCCCCAAAAATCAAAATTTTTTCTTACTATTTTCATATGTAAAAACAAAACATTACTAAAAAAAACAAAACAAAAATATAAGATCTTTTGGTTGCCAAATCCCAAATGTTCTAGAAGATTTTGCAAATGATAGATATTTTTTATATTTAATGATTCCCCTGAGATGTAGTGTTGTTAAATGGCTTGATTTTAGCTGATTTTTAAAAGTGGCTAACTCAATATTTTATCCAGAAAAATATTATACAAGCCTGAAGATTTTGGTCACAGGTGGTACAAAGGTTTGGACACAACAAAATCTCAAGGTTTAGTTTATATTTTCTTGGCTAAAATATTAGGTTAGCCATATTAAAAATCAGCTCAAATAGAGCCATTTAACAACACTACTGAGATGGGGGATCCTATTTTTAAAAGATCTATATAAAATTAAATTGAAAATATATTTTAGCATGGTTTCTAGGATTTATCCTATGTTAAGGCCTCATTTATAATAATTGCAAAATATTTTGCATAATTCATATAGAAACAATAGCTTATCTATATAATTAAAAATTTTTATTTTGCACTATTTTCGCACTTACTATAAAGCATAAGTTAGTGTGCAAAATTTCATACATTTTTATCTAGTGTAATTTGAGTTATTAACCTTTTCTTTTTTTTCTCCTGGGGGCATAAAATTCATTATATTTTTAAAAAATATAAATAGTAAATATTAATGGAAAAATTTTAAAAATTGCCTATTATATATTTTTTAAACAATATTTTATTAATTAATAAACATTGACTAATATATATTTAAATCCCACTATTTAAATAAATGAGTTATCAAATATTTAAGATACTTTAAGAAGTTTTGGCATGAATTTTTTTTTATCTTAAAGCTTACTATACAAAACTTTGGGCCAATCAAAATAAAATAAATGCTCTAATTCAACACCATTTTTTTTGGAAATTTTTAAAAATAATGTTTCTACAAACTACTTATTTAATATGGCGTTTACATGTTGTAAGTATACAGTTTTGTTGTATCAACAGAATCATGTAATAATTTATTGTATTATGCTATATTAATGGTTGGACCTTCTCAATAAAGATTTTCTAATTGTAAATTTAAGTTTGATAGGTTTTATATTGAGGTGATAAAGACAATTAACAATAACAATTCATTATGATTATTAAGGGTGAGTAACACACATGGCTAGATTAGTTTTATTGATATTCTTTTAAAGCCTCATAAGACTTCACAGTGGCATATCCAGGATTTTCTAATGGGGGGGAGGGGAATTTTTGGGGCTTCGCCCTCAAACCCCCCTTACCTGGCCTTCGACCAGCTTTTCCCCAGCCTTTGGTCGGGTCTTATGTTTTAGCTATTCTATTAAATTATTCATAATTTAATAATAATTATATTTCTATTTTATAACTATTATTTACTAATTAGTGCTTATGGATATTACAAGCCTATTTTTTATTATTTTAAGTTAGGTATATTTATTTAATAAAGTTAATTTTTAAATGTAAAGTTGAAATAAAGTTAAATGTCATTTTTTTATAAAATTTGCTTTAAAAACTAGCCTCAGCATAAATTCTCATACAATATAAGTAGAATATAATTTTTTTATTGAAAATACTAAAAGTAGTGTGTATAAAATATTGACTGGAAAATAATTTAAAAATCAATTTTTTTTTAACCTTTTATCAAATACAATATTATACAAATTTTTTTACTAAATACTATCATTATAATGTGATTTTTAATTTTCGTGGGAATGTTGCCAATTGAATTTTGTTTGTTGTTGGAACCAAATCTCTGTGGATATTTAACAGAGCTAACTTATTTAGCCGAGATTCGGAAGTAGTACTTTGTAAATATGTTTCCAACTTCTCAAGTTGGAAAAAGTGCTTTCATTCGTACATGTTGTAATAGGCAAACATGTAAGAATATAAAACAACTTCAAAATATTAGGAAATTGAGCCAAGGTTTCTTTACACCTATTGAGTGCATCAATAGCATGCTCAGGTAAAATAGATAAACGTAGTAAATATTTATACCACAATTCGAATTCATTGATTAAATTTATTTCAGTATCAATATCATAGGAATAAAATTTTGCTAAATATTTAATTTTACCAATAGTGGCATTAGAAAACGAAGAAGGATCTTTGGGTAATAAAATTTTAAGATTGCTAAAGACTTGTTTTTTTTATCTAAAAATCGTACTTTTATTTGCCATAAAAAAGTATAGAATGGGATGAAAATGGATATTTTATAATATTCTTCAGTTGAGCCAATATTTATTTTACATCTCAATAATTGCCTAGGTGCTAGACGAGGTTTAATTAGTGTTATATCATAAAATTTAGCCTTCGATTCAACGTCCAGATAAATATTATGAGAAAATATTTTTCTACATTCATTCTTATTGTATCTACCTGTAGATATATATATTTTTCGCCAAATCAATAACCATCTAAATTTGGTTTTCGTAAATTTCTACAAAGTAGTGAGCTAAAAATTATTGATGCAACTAGCAGCAATGATAAACGTGATTGATCAATTGAATTCAATAATGATATCGCTTCTGACGACACATTTTCATACTCAGCCTTATTTAACTTTTGTATTTCTATTTCTTCTGTTCTATGGAAGTAAAAATGAAAAATATTTAAATATAGATATTTATAAAATATTATTAAAAATACTTATTAATTCTAACTCACTAATAATTTTGAATTTAATAAAATAATTATATATAATAATAAAATAAATTACCATTTGATTTCATTCTCTTTGACTAAAATTTTTTCCATTTTATTACTATTTTGGAATAATATGTTGGAAAATTGATATTCAAATATTTGTAAAATTTTGATTAGTGGGGGGGGGGGGTGGGGGGTAAAATTTTTATTAGTTTAAAATGATATTTATAAAAACAGTCAAATTTGCGATGGGGGGGGAATTCCCCCCCCTCCCCCATTGGTTACGCGCCTGAGACTTCATCTTAATGTCATGGGAAAAAATTTGGCATTAACTTAAACAAACTCCTTTATTACCTAAAAAAATTATATTTCTTAATTAATTTATGAATCCATTATTAAATTAAATAAAACAAATTTTTGGCATTTTTCCCTCTTTCTCTATATATATTTTTTTTTAAATTTCAAGTTTTTTTTAAAAAACACATTGCAAAGTGCAACAAATAAGGTGAATTAATTTAATTTTGATACTAAACTAAAAGAATCATAAATTATTTAAGAAGGTTGTTTAATTTATATAGATTTGAAAATTATAAAATATTATTTGCCCCTTTATTGATAAATGGAGGTGGGGGGAATAAATTCATCAAAACAAATAAATATTATTGCAAAATCAATTTTTTTATTATCATGCATATTGCCATTTTGAAAGACTTGTAATTCAGAGCCAGTAAAATTAAACAACGCTTAATTAACTGAATATGATTTTTGTCCTTCCCGTTTTGGAAATACATCTTGTTTGGAAATGTCCATAGGCAGTATAATTGGGGTTTACACAATTTACACAGGTACATTTATGCGTGACGCTACGCTATAAACTTTTTTTTTCTTGACCCAAGCTTTGCATTTGTCATAGCCATTCTTTACACCATAAGTTTCTAATTAATTCAAATATATATTTTTTTTGTGCAACACTTTCATCACTTTTCTAAAAGATATGTGTTAAATTTAGGTTAAGAATTATTTGTATTTTTTGTGTTCCTCGCGAAATTTTTTTTTGTTAAAATTCGATAATATCAAATATCAAGTGATATTTCATTTTATTGATACAAATATTTTATATTTAAAGAATGAATATTTTTTTCCCAATAATATTTGGGTTTCTTATAAGCTTTTTTTTAAAATAAATTTTTAATAATAAAAAAATATATATTTTCCTTTTGTTATAAATAAAAAATAAAACAGTTTACAATTAATACAATTAATCGCGCAAATTAGATGCATTTATAAACGGAGTTTAATATTTGCTCAAAAAGAAATATTTAAAGAGAATGCGAGAATGTTCAAACAAGATTTTTGATCAAATTTTATCTTTAAATTCCGTCAAAAAATCTTTTATAAGTAAATATTTGTTTGATTTTTATGCTTAAAATATCTTTCATAATTTTCAAATGATAAATTTTTTGATCTTTAAAAAATTGCGAAAAAATCTTCAATGAAGATTTTTGTTAAACTTTGCTTATAACTTAATTCTGGAATGATTGAAAATTTAAGTATAAATGTAAATGATGAATTTTATACATTAAAAATTTGAATATGTGTAAGGGTCAAATTCAAATGTGTTATTTTTTTTTCAACAATCATTTTTTGAGCGCCTTTTTTTAAAAAAACGTT